CAGTCATACCAGAGACTATACTGTAAATAATAATAATAATAATAATGATAATAATGATGATGATAATAATAATGATGATACTTTATTTGAAATTTAATGTAAATTATACTGTGAATGTACGTGCAATTAATATTTTTATCAAATTACAGTATAGATCTATTTTGTATGTTTGTTTTGAAGCAAGAGTATGGTGATGACTACTGTTGCTGTAAATGTAATTGTGAATTCAAAGTCCAATGCATTGCAACACAACTTGTAAATAATGCATTGTCTTATGATAGCTATAAGGCGGGTCCTTATTGTAAACTGACCAATGAAATTGAAGGAGTGGAGTAGCAAGTGACCATAGCATAGATATTCCATCTTTTGCTTTCTGATAGTTGTCTCTCTCCTCTCGGCGCAAGCTCCTTACTCTCACTCATTCCCTTGGCCTCTCATTGGTTAGGAATATTTGATAATGGAACGATGTACGGATGTATTTAAAAGAAGAGATCACGAAGAAGCTGTTCGGTTACTACATTTACAGGATCCTGATGTACTTCATCAGGATGATCCTAACCTGCTTTATTATTCTATAAGTAATGGCTGGTTAGATATTACAAAAAATCTCATCACTAAGTATCACTTTGATCCACATGGATGCTACTACTATTCTGGTCAACCCTGTCTTTATACTGCTGCTAAAGCTAATCACATTGGTATAGTTAAATATCTTATTAAAGAGTGTCGCTGTGATCCAATGATTGGTATTATTTATGGCAATGGGGTCCCTGTTCTTCATTATGTAGCTAGTGAAGGATTACTTGATGTCTTGAAGTGTATGGTCATGAACATCACTGGTCATATAATGGATAAACAATATCGTGACACTAATGGTCGGACTGTTCTTCATCATGCTGTTAAACACATAGATGTTGTAAATTACCTCATTAATGAGTGTGACTGTGATATAATGGTCACTGATAAAGGTGGAAAAACTATCCTACATGATGTAGCTAGTAAAAGATTACAACTACTTGATGTCTTTAATTACCTCATTGATGCTCATCACTATCCAATGACTACTAACAATAGTGGTCAGATTGGTATTGTTAAATACATAGATGTTGTAAAGTACCTCATTAATGAGTGTAACTGTGATATAATGGTCACTGATAAAGATGGTGTCCCTTTTCTTTATTATGTAGCTA